TCTTAGAACTTGCAACACTTGCACTAGCACTACCGCTTGCCTCTCCTCCACGGCCACTTGTGCCACCACCATTGTGTCCCCGACCTCTAGTACGTCCACCAGGGGATTTGCAGTTTGATCAGCATCTCTTTCCATAGTTTGCGATTCCTGCGATTGAAAAACATTAAGAAATTGCCCTTCTTCGATGTTGAATTGGGCATCAATAGGAATATCACCACCATCACCATAACCAGAAGAAGCCATTATGAAAAATAAGAGAGATTGAGAGCGCTTTGAGAGAGCTTAAGAGAGATCGAGATTCAAGAGAGATTTAAGCGAGATTAAGAGAGATTTGAGAGAGATTAAGAGAAATTGAGAGAGAATGAGAGTTTTGGGGTGAGAAAAATGGTTGGGGGGAGGGGGGTATTTATAGGAAAATTTTTGGGTTGAAAAAAAAAATTTGTCCCCCAAAAATTCGGGTCTAACGGCTACAAAATTTTCGGGCAGGTCGAGCAAAATTCGGGCAGTTCGGGCAACGGATAAAAATATGACCGTTTGGTTCAAAAATTCAGGTTCGGGTTCGGGTTCGGGCAAAAGACTATTTTTTTTTTTTCAAAATTCGGGCATTTCGGGCTAACGGTAAAAAAAAATCGGGTATTTTTCGGGCATGGGGCGAAATTCGGGCAACGGTCACAAAAAATTTGGGTAATTCGGGCAGTTCGGGCAGCTTCGGGTATTTGCCGAAAAATTCAAAAAAAATCCGACGAACGGCGGGGGAAGGCCTCTCCACGGCGGCGGGCTGTCGGGGGCTTACCTTTTTCGGGCTACCCGAGCCCGTGCCCGAAGAAAATCATTTTCGGGCGGCGAGACGGGCCTGCCCGCCGTGCCCGAATATTTTCGGGCATCGGGCATGCCCGCCGCCCGAAAGTCCAACACTATTGGGGAGCATTCAATCGTACCACACACATGGTCAAAACAAAGAAAAAGATAAAAATAGTAAGGGATATGGAGAGAAATAACATAATTAGTAAGGTGATTAGTAAATTATAATTTTTTTTAAAAAATAGTAAATTATAGCATAATTTGATATTTTAAGTTTCAAACATTATTAAAAAGTCAAAAATACCCATAAACCTCCTTTTTCACCTCATTCCTCCTGCCTAAACATCTTTTTTTTTTAAATAGTAAATTATAACATATTTTTTAAAATAAATAGATTACAGTCAAGTTTACTATGACCGGGACCGGCGGCCGAAGACCATTTTTCAACAATCCATGACCATTTTCCAGAGACAGTGGATCATTTTTCGGTAGATCAAATTGGAGAGAATCGTGGAAAAGGAGTAAGAATCTAAGTGGGCGTTTAGTTCATGTATTTAGAATCATGATTCAGAACCATTCTCGTTTAACGTGTATTTTTTGTGAGAGAAAAACACTGTAGAGAACCATGAATCATGATAAAAAATCAGGGATGAATACATGAAACATACGGGCTCTAAGTTTTTGTATTGGACTAGATTCTCGTGATCTTTTGGATGCCTTATTTCAAGGCTTCAGTTTCAGCTCATTGAGTATGGTTTTTACAGAAGAAATTATCTAGAGAAATCTGTGAATTGGTGAGAACTTTAGAGTGTTTATTAAAAGAAATACTTTGTTGTTTCCGGAAGGAAGCTCATCCGATCGAAGGGAGTTTGTCGGGTGATTAGAAGACGCGTGGTGCACGCTAAACAACATTACTGTGAAGATTCTTCACAGCGACATCATAATCTAGGAGGGATTCTAGTGTGAATAAGTCCATCAGTGTTATAACTTTTAAAACATAGTGAAACTGTTTACTGTATGGGCGTGGCTCCGCCCGCATATGTAGGTGTGCGCACCGAATTGCAATGCCATATTGCATGTTCATTTAATTTTAGTACTTTATTCTGCTAGAGAAACTGAACATAATTAAACCAGATCTTAATTAATCAAGCCGTGTTCCTAATTGTGTTACAACATCAACTGAAATACCAGACGTACAATCAGATCTAACAAATGGGTTTCAATTATGTATTATGTTAGTAGGGAGAAAGCAGAATCTGAAAATATTGTTCCAATAATATAAGTAAACATAAGGCTGACTGTAAATCAAATTAGGAGCATTACTGTCCAATCCTCCAGAAGCTGTCTCTGTTTTGAGCCAGCTGAAGAAAACAAATTAAAAGCCAGTAAATTCTACTAAGAAAGATTCACAGTGGACTTTTCTCTACAAAATTTAAGTTTCAAAACTTCCTCCAATCGTTGCAATATCAATGAAACGGTCCCTGCATAATAACCCACATCTCTATAAATTACGATGTGAAATAGAAACTAATATAAAAGGTGTATCCAAGTCTATTGATGGTTTCTGTCTTGGTGAACCAAAAGGAGTTGGGAAAAAAAAAAAAAAAAGAACCTGAAGCTTGAGAATCTCCATGCTTTGGTGAGCCTTTCACCAGAAGTGTGCCAGGGGCTTGCTGAAAGACCTAAACAAGTGGATCACTATCAAAATTAAAAAGAGTTTAAACATCAGAGAGGTCATTAGTTCAGCCGAAAATGAGGAGAAAATCTTACCGAAATTCGAAAACATAGGTTATTTATAGGTAGGCCCAAGCAACTTGTGCTTTGGGATGTATCCTTTGCGTCTTCACAATCAGCAAAAATATCACGATGTTCCCCGTTCTTCAGGATTGCTTTACAATGATCATGTGAAGCAGAGATCTATTAGAATAAAATTGTGCTATATATGAGAATGAGAATGAAGCTTTATTAAATTTATTTTCAACGCAAGTAAGCAGGACGTTGAATATTGAATAAACTAAAAGTAGAAACATACATCAATTGTAAATGAGGAGGCATTCAAGTTACACAATGCGCCGTTATGACAGAAGAAAGACTCGATCGATTGCAGCACATCTACGGCACTGTATTGTCGCTGAAGACCCTATGAAGAAGAAATTTGCAGTTTCAAATGTCACAATTTGTATGGAGAAAATGATTCAATTGGATTCTGCACCCATCCAAATTCTTTAAAGCATTCTGAAACTCATGAATGAAACTAAATGCATGAAGTTACAAACACCTAGAATGATCTCTCAAGATTGAAAAGTATAGTAAAACACATTGGGAATATTGAAAGCAAGAACACAGGCCTCAAACATGAAAGACAGGTTACGTTTCCCAGCCACATGCAGTGATATTATCTTCTTAACAGGAGGCACAAAAGACCAAGCCAAGCCCCAACGACACGTCTGGCCTTGGAAAAATTCTGTAGTCTTTACTATCGAAACTCCAACCTCCCGGAGCTTTGATATTAGGAATTTGAGGTTTGATTTTCTCCCAACCATTGTCGTGTACCACCTACAAGTACAATCAAAGCCTAAAACATAAAGCAGAATCCCAAATTAAATGAGGCACAAGAATGCTTTAGCATATAAGATAAGCAATACCGGAAAGTTTGCTTCAATACAGAGCTATCTTCAATGATGCGAGTTATAAAAGCCCTTTCTCCACCAGGACAAACCATTTCTTCTGGAGTCCCACCACAGGAAGTTTTTGGGTTCAGTCCTGCTTCATCCATGGTTTCAAAGAATGGGGGATTACACATGCAAAAGTCGAACTTTTCGCCATCCCTTACCACACCAACAAGGATAGGCAGGCCACAATATCTCGTGTCGTTGTCCGTAAATTGTATCTTGCTCTCACTACCACTTGATCTGCCATTTTGTGAATCTTCCACAGAAAGGGTATTTTCACCACTCTCAACTCTTCTAATTTCAATTAATTCTGAAATATGCGGATTATCTTTAACATTTCTTTCCGCCCACTCCAGTGCTACATCAGTCACATCTACAACCGCGTTCACCGAAATTCAAATTCTATCACGTTTCCAATGAGATATTACCAGCAAATACCAAAATCAGGATACACAAAATTTGGCAAAGAAAGTAGCTACCTGATCCAACAAAACTCCACCCCAGAAGAGATGCACCAAGAAGAGGGTAAATGCAGTTTGCCCCGGTTCCTATATCGAAACCCCGCACCTTATCTCGGTTAATTTCAGTCTTTGGAATGATATTAGACAACAAAAGATCTTCAATCCAATGGATGTAATTGGATCTATTTGGCACTGTAGGGCATAGCTGCCCATCAGGAATCCACCTAGAAATTCAATTCTCATAACACTTAATACACATAGAAACTCTCCAAAAAAAAGAAAAAAACACAACTTTAATGCTGAATCACATTCATGAAGATAATCTAGTTCAATATAAGCATAAACAAAAACCAAAAATCCCCAATCATGAATAAATATTTTCCTCAATCAATAACGCTAAAGTCCCTAACTTTGATTATGCATATATAAAGGGTAATACCCAAAAAAAAAAAAAAAAAAAATTGCATCGAATTCCGAGCTCCACAGGTAAGACAAAACTGAGACAATGAAAAAAAAAAAAAAGAAAAAAAAAAGGCGTTTTGAGAAGCATAAAAGATTAGTAGTAAACAAAGGAGGAGATTTGATTACCAATTGAGAGAGTGGTCGTGGAGGAGCAAGACGCGAGTGAGTTCGCGAGTGGCATTGAAGTCGGTCCAATCGATTCTGGGGCGGCCGTCGGAGGAGTAGAAGACGAAGGTGTGGAAAGAAGGGTAGAGAGAAGCTAAGAGAGAGAAGTCTGGTGGGTTTTCGGAGTATTTGTTTTTGGGGTGGATTGTGGGTCGTTCTTCTCTCCTCCTCTTCTTCCTGTTCTTGTTGCCCCCCATTGCCGAGCTTTTCCCAATTCAGTGGGTGATTAATTAAGCAGTTTAAAAAAAGTAGAAAAGGAGAGTCGAACGACAATAAAACAAAACACGACACAAACATAAAACGACAGCAAGTAAAAATAAAAACATGAATGACCTAATAAGTTATAAAATATGTAAAATAAATAAAACACAAATCATATGAAACGACGAAAGAATGAATGACCTATTAAGTGAAAAGGGGCACATCAGATTAGAAAACGACAACAAATGAGGAAACGACGTGAAAGTTAAAGGGCCTGTTTGGAATCATTTCCAAAAATGTTTTTCACGTTTTTCAAGAATTAAAAAATGAAAACGCACTCACAAATGTGTTTGGCACCGCATTTATTGAAAAACAAAAACTGAAAATGTTTTTTACTTATTCCCAAAAAGTAGCAAAATTGAAAACGATTAAGCATCATTTTCAGTTTCCCATTTTCATTTTCCTTGCCCGACTAGACCAATCTCTTCTTCGACCCCCTTTCCTCCGATTTTCCATTTTCATTTTCCCCCTCCTCTCCCACCTCGACCTCGCTGCCCCTAACCACCCCCCTCCTCATCCGACTCCGCCGCCGCCCCCTTCCTCCACCTCACCAGAGTCGGAACCCTGGACGACGACTTCTTCTCCGGCGACAACGACGATGATTGCAGCCGAAGAAACACACCAAAATTATTCCTCCGAAATCCATTTCTTCATGCATATAATGTTTATTTAATATATTATTATTTTAAATATTATTACATGTTTTTAAAAATTAAACCACCAAACACAATTTCAGTTTTTTTTAAACTGAAAACAATCTCAGAATAAAGCTACCAAACGCATTTTCAGAAATGATCCCAAAATGGAATTGAAAACGTTTTCGTTTTCATTTTCATATAGAAAATAAAATCATTTTGGAACGAATTCCAAACGCACCCGAAAAGACGGTGAATGATAAACAATGGTAAACAAAATAAACGATATATACTATAAAATGAAAGAAATAACGAATCAGAATATCAAATTTTTTTATCAAAAAAAAAATCAAAGTTTTTCTCCCAATTTTACATCATCAAATTGCTTTTTCCTTTTTCCTTTTTTTATTGTTTGCTAATAACATCAAATTGCGTTTCCTCAATAATTATAATTATAATGAGAATAATTATAATAACAACATCAAAGTGCTTTCATTCTTTGTTTGTAATTTATTCTTTGTTTACTTGATTATTATTATATACATTCCCTTTTTTGTCTGCTACGGCCCTTTCTTTGCTTATACGAGCCTCATAGATGAATTCAGCATGCGAGTTTCATAGTACACGATACCAACATCATCGTATTAGTATTAGTTGTAATGCTCATCAATACTAATGCTAAATATGACTTTTCTTTCTCTACTAAAGTTTATCACAAAACACTTGCTTTTCCCAAGAAGTTCAAAATCTCATATTTGCATCGGATATATGTCTCATGCCTCAACAACTAGTTTTGAGTACATTTTATGCACCGGAATAAATGGTAATAATGCGCCGAAGATGACATTCACATCTTCCAATATACATATACATACATACATATATATATGTATATTGCTCAGCATCCAACTACTTGCAAGGGACAAGTAGTAATGTCACACAAAATTAGGTGGCCATGAAAGGATTGGATTGGAAAGAGCAACAAATGCTTTTTCGCCATATGGAAAATCCACAACCCCGGCTTTTTTTTTCAAGAAGAAAAAAAAGGAATGAAGTTTAAGCCTTGGAATGAAATAGTTGGGAAATGGTAAATGTTAAGGCCCACACAAAGTTTGTAGCACTATTGAAGATCATGACAAATATTGCGATTTAGCACCAATTCCGTCTTTAAGGTAATGAACTCAACGTTGAAAGCATTTTTTCCTTAACATTTTCAAACAAGGAAACAAAGTTCATCATTACTTCAGGCATATGAGAGACAAAATGTCTTGGAGATGCTTTCTAAACAAAGTAATATTTATCCGAACAAAAAGAAATTCAACCCTCATGTTTTTCATGATTTCATTTGTAGATTGATTGTCGTTGAATTGATTTCTCTTAGAGCATGTTTTACATGTCATTAGTGGAAAGAGAATGAAAGGAGGATTTTCCTGTCCTCTCACCAATGTGCATACGTACTAAAATAGAAATGAAATTCTCATCCCTAATAGATAAGTATACGCTTCATCAAATATCCAATTATTTTGTTTTTCAAACCATTTCTTCCTCTCTCTCCAATTACATTCCATTATGAATTGCCAAACATGCCCTACTTGTATAGTTTCTTGAAGAAGCATTCATCAAGACGTACATGTGTCCAACCGTTATATGGAATGAAAAGGACAGTGAAATCGATGAAGGAAAAAAAAAAAAAAGCAAAGGGCAATCTTATCCTCACAAACATTGAGCTGAGTCAGCGTGATCCAGCATCTTATGGATAAGCTCTTTACGAATCAATATGAGCCGTATTCATTTCATTTCATATTCATATTCTAAGTTCTATATAACTTAAATCTTCACTCTTTCTTTCTTACTCGTCAAAACCCTCATCTTCCTCCAAAGAAATCTCAAATTTTGCCTCTTCTACAAACTTTCTTCACGCCACATTCACTTTTCTCTTTCAGATATAATACACTCACGCATAACACACAAAACTCACGAGCAAATCGACCACAAGGACCTTGAGGAGGTAATACCACATGCACATTCCCTTAATCTGCCTCAGATCAAGCGAGCTTTCCACAAAATAAGCCTTATCTGACCTTGTACAGAGTCAAATATACCAAAAAAAACAAAAACAAGAGTCAAATTACAGAGCAAGCGCGTTTGAAAATGGCTACAACAACTTTGTCACTGTACGAGGTTCTTGGGATCCCCATGAGCGCAAGTGGGCACGAGATTAAATTGGCATATAGAAGACTAGCGAGAACTTGTCACCCTGACGTTGTGGCTTTTGAACAAAAGGAAACTTCTGCGAGCGAGTTCATGAAAATCCGTGCAGCTTATTCCACGTTGTCCGATCCTGATAAAAGAGCTGACTACGACAGAGATCTCTTCAGCCGTCGACGACCACCCTTTGGCTATTCGCCTTCACCGGCGTCGGCTGCCGAAGCCGCGGCCAATGCCGCCACTCGGTTTTCGCAATATTCTCGTAGATGTTGGGAAACTGATCAGTGTTGGTAGCTAAAAGGATGGCTGATTTTCCACTGCTTTTTTACTCATTCTCTGTTGTAATTGAGTTTCTTGTCTTTTGTTGGCCAAAAAAAAAAAAGAAACAGAGCAGATAAAACAGGGGTGAAAAAAGAAAATGTACATTGTCGTCGGAATTGTAATAGTTATTTCTTTAGGATTTAGCATTTGATTTTGAAAATGGATAATCCTATGTATAAAATGGAAATTGAAGTCTATATTTTTCTTGCTCTTGATTTAGATAGACGTGACACAATTCTGAACTCATGCATGGTTTTTTCTTATTTTCTAGAAGGTCACTATTGCAAGAATTTTGTAGTTTGATGTAGACTTGTATTAGCCACAATCTATATGTCCCTCTAATTCTGTCCATGATTACTTACAAATAAAAGATAATCAAAGCTTTTCTAGAAGGTCACTATTGCAAGAATTTTGTAGTTTGATGTAGACTTGTATGAGCCACAATCTATGTGTCCCTCTAATTCTGTCCATGATTACTTACAAATAAAAGATAATCAAAGAGTAAATCTTCAGACAAGTCAGTGACAATTAACAAATACACAAGCTAACTAGGGTGATACCAAGGACCAAAGAGTGCTCCAAATTTCCATACTTTTTGTTATTTAGGCTCTATATACTATCATCACCTTCACCTTTTCGCCATTAAATACTTTGATTTCTTTTTGTTATTTTCATTATCGACAAACTTAATGTTTGGTTTGGTTAGCATTTACCTAAACGTTAGAAGAATCTCACATGCTAGAGGTTTATATCATTGTTTTCTGGAAAAAAAAAAAAAAAAAATATATATATATATATATATATATATATATATATTGCTGCAGTTTCTTTGACTCCAAACCATCAGACTAACTACCCTGTCAGCATCAACGCTAGTCCGCCTCAGCTTCTTTTTATGGAACAAAAATCGAGTTCATGAATCATGAATTACTTTTGCACATGCTAGTGCTATGATCCTGAAAATTTATAATCTAATTTGAATGGTCTCAGTTCTTTATGCAACGTCTCAAAATTATTTATTTATTTATTTTTTCAAGAATGTAGTAAAAAAAATAATAATAACCTAGGCCGAAAGTACTATTGGTCCACATGGTCAGACATTTCTCGGCTAGCCTGTTAAGACGTCCCCACTAAAAAAAATAAAAAAATAAACAGTTAATAATATAAAACATAACTTCGAAATCAATATCTTAGCCAGAAAAATAAAATAATTAAGAAGATGATCAAGAAGAGAATAACCGGATTGAGAATAGAGACAAAAGCACAAAAAATAATAATTAATATAAACTATAGGGCCATTAAACTGTTTAGAAAGGAAAATCTACGGTGTCCCCGGGGTTCAAAACCCTTTCTCACTAACAGTGTGTTTGGTAGGGTGAAAAAAAGAAAAAAGAAAATAAAGGAAGGATTATGTAGAGGAAAATGAAATTTTAGGTTGTTTGGTACAGAAGAAATGAGAAAGGAATGAAAATAAAAATTCATAGGACTCACCAATTTTTAATCTTTCCAACTTTGGGAAAAAAAAAATAGGGAAAAAATTTGATAAAAAATGAGATGTAAAATAACAATTTTAACATTCATTATTCATCATATTTTCATTTGTATTGGGTATTATTGTAAAATACATTAAATTTAACATTTTTTTTCACTTTTTTTTTCTTCTACCAAACAATATGAAAAAAAATCATTTTACTTCCTTCACTTAGATATTTTACTTTTCTTTACTTCTTTTCTATCCATTCTACTAAAAATGGAGTAATTGTAGGCTTAGTCTGGGGCCTAATGAGTCCAGATAAAAGATCCAATAATACCATAGGCGCAGCCTGGGGTGAATTAAAGGAATAATATTTTAGAGAGGGAGAACTTGAAAATATTACATTTTTAGAAATCTTAAGCTTAAATTTCACCATTAAAGCGGTACAAAATGCATAGCTAGTATATAACCTAATTTTTACCTTAGCCTGCTCATACATGAGATTTTAGGCATGATATTACCAAAAATGTACGGGCATGTAACTAGGCGGGTTATGGATGATGTTTTTGGGAGCACAAAATTAACTAACTGTTAAGGGGCTTTTTTGGACAGTTGATGACCAGAGACCTTTTAAGACATGTTTATTTCACCGATTCGAGTTTATAATTTAAATTTCGTTACAGTAAAAAGCTCTTAGAATGTAATGACTGAGAAAATCTCAGACCTTAAATAATACAATTTATGTATTTAAGCCAATGATTTTTTTTTAGGAAATATTATGTGACTGAAGGATTTATGGAATTAATATCTGTATTCCAAAATTCTGTAGCAGATTTCATGTTAAGTTCATGTTTTCGATCAAGTAAATTCGATCGCTAAATTCTCGCCGTACTTTAAGGCCGAATAATTTTCAGAACAAATATAGTTTGAGAATCTTAATTTCAAGAATCTCCAAGCACAACACGATGTTAACAGCGTATAAAAAACGCACTGACATTTTAAAAGAAGAAAAAATCCTTAATTGCCAGATAGCTAGGTTAAAGTCACAAGATAAATACCCATAGTAGAAGGGTACAATGTGAGCTCGGGAGTTGACACTATCAGAAACAACGTCATTCCCGGGATATAATGCAGAAAAGTTAAATTTAGAATTTGTTCAGTCTAGAATTAATTTCAAGACTTGAAATAGTTCAAGATATTACGCGAGTAAGAATTTAATGTGATATCAAAGTAGTCGAGGATTTAACATTGAACTGTAAATAAGCAGTAGAGAAGGAACTGTCAGAAACTAGAATTTTCTGTCGGCTAAGTTACTTACTTACAGTCAGTATAATTTTTATCAGTTTCAAAAGAAACTTGAGAGATGAGATAAAAGTACAAGAGTGGGTTAAGTTTGGTTAGATAAGATGTGATGTGATGGGGGTAAGTAATATTTTTTCCTCTATTTCCTTCACTTGGCCGGCCATATTAAGAGGTTTTAGGAAAAGTTTGGTTACTTGAGTGTGCTAGAAGGTTACATGATGAGAAGTGATGTGATGGTAGTGGTTCAAGGGGAAATCAAGGCAATACTTGCTCTTTCCTTTTCTCCACCAAGACCGGCCATTTTAAGGAGTTTTAAGCAAATTTTTGTTTAATTAAGTGGACTAGAAGATGTAATGAAGCGATAAACCAAATCAACTAGTTGTCTATAAATAGAACCAATATAATCTAAGCTTCACTTTTTGCTTTATCTTACTTCTTTCTCCATATCCAAAACCGGCTCTACAAAGCTCCAACTTTCAAGTTTTCTAAGCTTTTCCCTCACCAAAACCAAGCCTTCCCTTCCCTCACATACACTCAAAAGTTTCCATATATCTCACCATAGATCTTAGCTTAAGTTGGAGGAAGAGAAGGATCTCAAAGGTTTTCAAGAGAGAGTTCTTCAAGGGTAATTTCTTGAACTATTCTCCATTATTTTTCTAGCCAACGTTAAGTCTGAAATTATGGATGTAATTTGTGGTCCCTTGAGGCTATGGTTTGTAATAAGGGTGTGTGAGTTTTAAGTTGGTTTTGTGAGTTTTGAGGTTAGTTTGATTAGCATTATGTGGTATGTTTATACTTGATTCAAGTTGCTTATTTTGGGTTGAAGGAAAAATTTTCCAGTTACTTTGAACGTGAAAATGAGGACCCTAGAGTGAGATTTTTTAGTATTTCTAAACTTGAACTTATAGATCTCGATGTTTTAAACGTTTTCTGTAACTATGACAAAATCCAATTTTAACTCTAAAAGTAAGTTTGAAGCCAGTTTGTGTCACGCCCCCCCCCCCCCAAGCGGAGTGGGTGACGTGGAGCTCGATTAGGGGTTAATAAAGCAGATTCCCAACCGGGCCCCACACTTAACTGCATTAATATATAAATAAATTACTACAGAATCCCGGAGCCTCTGACACACAGGGCTCCACCCCACATGACATACAGTATCGTACATACATGCTCATGTAAATAATCATTACAACAAACATCAACCACAGTCTAGTTAATCCAAATATTACATAAGTTTACAGAATTTCTCAAATTCCTTACATTTGTCCAAGATGATGGCCACAATCCTCACTTGATTCCAACAACAGCACAACTCAGCTGCTCTGTAGCAAATATCCAGCTACTGTGCACCACTCCTAGAGTCTCTTGGGAGGGGTTTAATACATTTAAAACATAAAACGTGAGCGAAAGGCCCAGTAGGATATTATTTTAAAATAATCGTTATAAATAAACGAATAATAAGTGTGCGGGGAAATACATAATAAATAAGTAAATAAAATAAGACATTCAGTCCCGACAGAACAGCCGGAACCTCACATCCTTTTTCTCAAAGGAAAAGTAACTGTAAATAACCGTTTTACAGGCTTCAGTAAGTAATTAGTACAAATTACTTACCTAACCAAGTGCCTCGCCTCCCCGAACCGAGTTTCGGGTTCTGCCCCCGAGGATGCACTCTCCGTATCCTATCTAGGCTTACAGCAATGGACTCTATTACCAGTTCACAATATCTCTTTGCTTAAGAAATCATTCATTAACATTTTGAAATCGTTAATACGACTCCACGAACTACTCAAGCCGCGGGCCCCATGACTGGACAAGCCATGAGGTTCCATGACTAAACAAGCCATGGTTTTCAAAGCGTTTTCTTTCACAAATCAATCCCTTTCTTTAAAACATTTTCAAGGCCAAAATCCTTTTTGAAAACAGGCTCGCAAGGAAAATGGATAGAAATCCTACCTCGCACTATAAAACCTGGGACTAGCATCGCCTTTTCTGGCTTTCGCTTCCTCAAGCCCCTTCAGTCTGAATCCTCAGTGATCACTGATGCAAGACAACACTTTAGGATTAATTCTCAGTCCTAGAGCAATCCAAATCTCAATTTCCAACCAAGATTTCCTATTAGTGTGCCCTTATCCATTTTCATGTTTCAAATTATCATTCCAAGGGTTTTCAATCTCAAATCATGGATTAACAATGCTAATCCATATATCTCAAGTCCTCAAATGAAGCTAATTTGGGTTCTCCCCGAAAACAGGGGTCAAAACAGCAATTTCAGGCCAAACAGGGTCAAACCCTGTGCCAACTGGTCGGCCGGTGACAGAGCAGTGCAACACTACCGGTCGACCAGCAGTGTGCACACCGGTCAACCGGACCGGTCGACCGGTCAGCCTGCAATCTGGTCGATCGCATAGGTCAACCGGTTTCCATGTGATCCGGTCGGCCGCACAGGTTGACCGGTGGAATCAGCTGCGTGAGAGAAGCTCGCAGAAATCAGTCTAAAAACCTGCAAATCTAGTCCCAAATTGAGATATTTCAAAGGGAAACCACTAGATCTGGGTTCTAGGTCCTAAAACAAGTCCAAAGAACCCAAGATCTCTAATTTCTACCCTAGTTTTACTCAAAACCCATCAAAATCTGATTTGAACTAAAATGAGTTTTGAAATTCAAAAACTTGAGATTCAAGAGAGGTTCTTTCAGTAATCTTACCTCAAATCCTTCTCTTGACGTTGAAAACTTCTTTAAATCTTTCCTTGGTTCAAGATTCGTTTGATTTGGGACACAAATGAGAGAGAGAGAGAGTGAGCGGGAGAGTGAGAATGAAGGAGAGAGAGAGAGTGCACGGGAAAAGAAAGAGAAAGGAAAGGAAAAAGGAAAAAGAAAAAGAAAAGAAAAGGAAAAGGAAAAGAAAATGACATGTGTACAATATTTTAAAAATGGCAGTCCAGAAATGCGCCCATACACACTTCTGGTTTAAAATAAATTACTGCGAATAATTTAAATACCTTGGAACTATTTAAACTCACACGTGTCAGAAACATTTATTAATTAAACTCAATTAATAATCCAGATTAGGCGCACTAATAATCTCAATTACCTTAATTAATCTCAATTAATTCTTCAGGGTGTTACAGTTTGTAAAAATGAACAGGCTGTCCAACACAGTTTCAGAAAAGAAAAAAAAGATTTGCTACAGCATTTTAAAAGAGATTGTTGCAGCAATCCTAAAGCCTTTTTAGAAGATAGCTACAACAATCCTATAGCATTTTTAAAAGATTGCTACAGCAATCCTAACGCATTTTTAAAAGATTGCTACAACAATCCTATAGCATTTTTAAAAGATTGCTACAACAATCCTAAAGCATTTTTAAAAGATTGCTGCAGCATTCCTACAGCAAAAGAAAAAAAAATGGCAGCCACTGTTTTCAGCCAAACGAGGCCTTTAGAGGCTGAATTTCAACTTTCTCTAAAAACGACAATTTTAGATCTCGACGAGACGAAGAATTGTCGCAAAGAACAAATTTTTAAAATCTGACCCTAAGATGCAGTAAAACACAGATTTCAGACACTACACAGTTTTAACGAAACAAAACTAACATAGTGTTGGTTTTAACAGAAATTTATCAAAGAAACCGAGATGTGATTTCAGTAAAATATTATAGTGTTAAACCTTATTTTAACGGAAGTATTCGTAAAGAAAGTTTTCAAGAAAAACTCTTTCTTTTAAAGAACTTAGTGGTTTATTGAGCAAATCATCCCAACGGGCACCTAAGAGCCCAATGCGATAGGCCCTTAGAATTTTAAAAGTTTGATGTGGGTCCAACGCCCGCATAGATTTAAGAGACTCCGTGGGAGTATTAAGTCCAACGGCCTAAGAGTTAGAAGGCTGTGAATAAGTTTCTAGGCCGAATTGGGCCTTAATATCATAATAAGTCCAATAAGGAAATTATGGAGAATAAGTTACTAGATTGGATAAATGATTTTCAATCTAGACATAAGTATGTTAAGGGCAATTAAGGAAAATAAGATTTTGAGTATTTAATAAATTGATCCTTATAGTAAATTATCCTTCAGTAAAGGAAAGGAATACATGCCTTAAGTAAAGGGCTATATTTCCTTCACAAGTTGCTAAAATAGAATAGCAAACGACAGATAATCTCATACTCTCAATGGGTGTTCATTTTCGGAAGTAAGCAAGTAAGATAATAGATTGTTTGGTGAAAAGTGGATTCCAGCTCTGTAAATCAAGTAAGTAGGAATCTCGCCTACAGCATGAATATATTTTAAAGAAAAAGTTACACATGTTATATATCCATGTTATGCTTTAAGTATTGTATGCGATGTCATGTCATACTGCATACACCTTAATTAGTCAAGAGGAACTTATAAGAATAATCTCAGTTGAGTGTCGTACCAGCCTCCGCAAGGGGGGTAACTCAAGCTCCGCAAGGGAGATAAAGAAAAAAAAGTCATTCGCAAGGGAGGCACTCATTTCAGTTATAATCACGATGTCTTGGGGGACCTTGCAAACCCTTACGTCCCGATGATTGCGCACAAGTGGTACTAGCACTCGGGCCCATAAGAAAGATAAGATAAGAAAATAAGACACTGATAAGACATCATAATAAAGCATAATCATCTCATGCATATTTATTCATGTGTACTTACAGTTATTTTGTGAGAGATAGTTTCTACTTGTTGAGCGAAAACTCAATCAGATATGTTCATGCTGTAGGTAAGAAACCTATCAGCAATTCTTGAAGGGCAATGGCGAGCGGCGGATGAATGGTGGAGATGGAAATGGATACCGCTCACGCAGTCATTTTTTGCACTAGTTAAAGTTTTAAAAGATTTTGATAAGTATGTCTATAAACTTGTATTTTTAGAAGTTTGTAGTATAATACTAAGTTTGTGTAAATGACCAGAAAGTATGTCGTTACAGTAAGTTTACAAAGAAAATAAAAAGAGAATGCTGCAGCATTCCTACAACATTTTAAAAAAGATGGCTACAGCATTCCTAAAATATTTTTGAGGAGAATGCTACAGTATTCCTACAACATTTTAAGAAAAGCTTTAAGAAATTTAGTGATTTATTCTTTTGAAATTATTGTTACGAATTATAAAGTTATTACTTCTCAAATTTAAAAAAAAAAAAATATTCCGCAAATTTTAAGAAACCCCAGTAAGTACAAGTTAATGTCAGCTACGGTGACGGCCTCTTAAGGAAGGTCGCCACATAGAAACAGTCACATCTTCTTTTTTTTGCTACAGTAAAAAACTCTCACATAAAGTTGCATCTCAAGTCGAATCAGCGAACTAAACGGACCCTTAAAGTGTATGAGTCTTGAATTTTTATTCATTACTCTTAATTAATACTCTTTAGTCAAAAAACCATATTAGTCAAAGAGTATTAATCAAGAATAATTAGAAAATTAGGCCCCGTTCACTTTGCGGATTCGAGCTTTCAATTCGAGCTGACATGTGATATTTTTTGGGAGCTTTTCACTGTTACAGAAAAAGTTAGATGTGACATTTTTGAGAACTTTTTACTGTAGAAACCTAAAACTGAAAACTCGAATCGGTGAAATGAACGATGCATAAGTCTGTAATTTATTCCATGATGAGAGGATTTGCCAAATTCGGATGACTCCATGAAAGACATTGTCTCCATCGGAAGATAGTTGTCGATGCCCTTATGCATTGTTTGATACTTTATGCTGACAAGTTTACTGACGAATTCGGGGCACGTTCAAGTTTTCAAGTGCGAAGAATCTATTTTTTCTTTCCTATTTGAAACTTCAATGAATCAGAAAATGTTGTTATGTAACCGGCCCATTCCTTTCCTACTCATAAAATTTGACATGTTTCTGTTATAACCCCAGTTTTACTTTTTTTTTTTTTTTTTTTTTTTTTTTTGTCTATCTTTTCCCAGTTTGATTAATAGTGATTAAAATTCTGAGTAATATTTTCCTACATTTTCTCCTAAACGTAACATCAACTTTTCATTTAACTCCACAGGTGGATCAGATTTTTAATGGCAGATTCTGATTCCGAGACCAACTTCGTGAAGGAATTTCGGATTCCTAATTACATAATATCACCTGAATTAAACGATGAGATTCACCATGAACCCAAGTATCCAGTGATAATCTTCATCAACTCCAAAAGTGGTGGTCAATTGGGCGGCGATCTTCTTCAGACCTACCGTTCTATTCTCAATGAAAATCAGGTATATTTCAATGTTTACTTTTACTCTTCTTTTTTTTTTTTTCCTTCAAGTTTTGGATAGATTTTGGTTCTTAAGAGGTTGACATAGAAGTAGCTAATTTCAGGTCTTTGATTTGGGGCAAGAAGCTCCTGATGTGGTGCTGCGCCGAATTTACGTGAATCTTGAAAGGCTCAAGAGTGAAGGAGATAAGCTTGCTAAACATATTGAGGAGAACTTGAGATTAATTGTGAGTTTCTCTTGAGTTCCAAGTTTTAACTTTTTAAATTGGTAATTGGTGTATCCCCTTTTTAAGTTTACCATTCGATGGCTTGCTTTCTATTCATTTGTATTACTAGTAGCCGTTTCATGTTTGTTCGAGTAATATCAATGGAATTCCCGAATATCATCCTAAGAGTAGCTAGGATTTCCAGAAAAATATGCCATTTGTTTCATGAGAAATAAAAAAAGGACATCGAAATTTGAGTGGTTGAAGCTTAAGCAACTACTTTCGAAGTAACGGAAAGAAAAACAATAACTGGAGTGGGAGAGTCATAGTCGAAAGGAAGGAAGAGAGAGAAAACCCAAATCCTTACTTATGCTACATCTTCTAACATGTAATTTTTGGCCCTTCAGGTTGCAGGAGGTGATGGAACTGCTGGGTGGCTTCTTGGAGTTGTTTCTGATCTCAAGTTGTCTCGTCTACCACCAATTGCAACAGTGCCCTTGGGAACAGGAAATAATCTTCCATTTGCATTTGGCTGGGTAGGAAGAGCATTATGAATTGAAGTAACCTTAAAATGCTTCAGTGCTTCTTTGTGCTTTCTTCACAGTTTCAGTGGATCTTAGGATACCTTTTCCTATTTTTCCTTTCAAATTTGTTGAAAGCATTTGTTATGCGACACATTATTTTCTTTTTCACGTATAACCGTCTATGTTAAGTTTTTCTGTTATGTTCTGGAAGACTTATTTTCACCTAATTAAAAGAGCTGATATGCATTGGAATCTGCAATCTTCTTGTTTTGAGAGACAATTCCATAATCCATCATGGTTTAATCACAAATATTAAAGGTTGGCGGTGTTGTGTTTTTCAGGGGAAGAGAAATCCTGGGACTGATCGTCGCTCAGTGGAGTCATTTTTAGCTCAAGTAAAGGATGCAAAGGAAATGAAAATAGACAGGTAGCCTTATATCATGGTCGTTATTTTTCTCCAAGGCTTATTTTGTTTTTGAAACCTTCCATTTCTCTCGTATACGCGGATACTGAACTGCTTTTCTGTTTTGTCGTTAGCTGGCATATTGTGATGAGGATGCCGCCTCCAAAAGAAGGTTCATGTGATCCCATTCCGCCTCTTGAATTACCACATTCTCTTCATGCATTTCAACGTGTCTCTGAGACAGATGAGCTAAACCGGGTAAACATCACATGCCTTTTTAAAAATATATTTTATTGCCCCAGGTTGCTTGTACTTATCGAAACTGCATCCACTGTGTACGCTCAAATCGAAAGGCAAATTTCTATTATTATTATTATTATTCATTTGACTGAAACACTGATTTCCCTGATCTGTTTACAAAGTCTTAAGAACAATTAGGAAAGGAGTAACTTTCTGCCTTCTGGCTTGACTGACTTCCCTCTGGGAAAGTATGATTTAACTACTTCAGTCTTCAATTGTCTTCTTCTTATACAATTAAACTTTGGGCTTCTTGTCAGGAGGGTTATATTACTTTTCGTGGGGGATTTTGGAACTACTTCAGCATGGGTAAGACTAGTACCCTTGTAGTGACCTTATTCAGAGTTTTGTTTTTAGTATTCATAACCTCTCTCTCTCGGTGTCTACCTTCTCTTTTCATTTTTTATATCACTCGCTAAAATAGGCAAATAATCTGTTTCATTTTGGCTTAATTATCTTATCTACCATGTTTACCTTGAAGCATGAATGGAAATTTTAAGTTCAGTGTTGATGACCATCCGCTCGGACCTCAATTTTCTTTTTGACATTGATACCTTTGTTGTCTATAGGAATGGATGCTCAAGTATCATATGCTTTTCATTCTGAGCGGAAGTTGCATCCTGAGAAATTTAAGAATCAGTTATTTAATCAGGTACTTCCCGCGCATTGATTATCATATGCGTTTTACTTTTGAAAATTCTAATAATATCCATTTCTTCTTTTTCAACTTCAAACAGGGAACATATGCGAAGATTGGGTGTACCCAAGGCTGGTTTTGTGCTTCCCTTTTCCATCCCTCTTCCCGGTAAGTATAGAGATGGCCAAGCACACAAGGGATAACCAAGATTTTTCTTTCTCTTCCTTTTATCTTTTATAGATTTAGATGCTATGAGGTGTCGGTTTTGGGACCTATTAGATAAATATTTCAGCAGGTCACTCCGTGGGAGTATTAAGTCCAACGGCCTAAGAGTTAGAAGGCTGTGAATAAGTTTCTAGGCCGAATTGGGCCTTAATATCATAATAAGTCCAATAAGGAAATTATGGAGAATAAGTTACTAGATTGGATAAATGATTTTCAATCTAGACATAAGTATGTTAAGGGCAATTAAGGAAAATAAGATTTTGAGTATTTAATAAATTGATCCTTATAGTAAATTATCCTTCAGTAAAGGAAAGGAATACATGCCTTAAGTAAAGGGCTATATTTCCTTCACAAGTTGCTAAAATAGAATAGCAAACGACAGATAATCTCATACTCTCAATGGGTGTTCATTTTCGGAAGTAAGCAAGTAAGATAATAGATTGTTTGGTGAAAAGTGGATTCCAGCTCTGTAAATCAAGTAAGTAGGAATCTCGCCTACAGCATGAATATATTTTAAAGAAAAAGTTACACATGTTATATATCCATGTTATGCTTTAAGTATTGTATGCGATGTCATGTCATACTGCATACACCTTAATTAGTCAAGAGGAACTTATAAGAATAATCTCAGTTGAGTGTCGTACCAGCCTCCGCAAGGGGGGTAACTCAAGCTCCGCAAGGGAGATAAAGAAAAAAAAGTCATTCGCAAGGGAGGCACTCATTTCAGTTATAATCACGATGTCTTGGGGGACCTTGCAAACCCTTACGTCCCGATGATTGCGCACAAGTGGTACTAGCACTCGGGCCCATAAGAAAGATAAGATAAGAAAATAAGACACTGATAAGACATCATAATAAAGCATAATCATCTCATGCATATTTATTCATGTGTACTTACAGTTATTTTGTGAGAGATAGTTTCTACTTGTTGAGCGAAAACTCAATCAGATATGTTCATGCTGTAGGTAAGAAACCTATCAGCAATTCTTGAAGGGCAATGGCGAGCGGCGGATGAATGGTGGAGATGGAAATGGATACCGCTCACGCAGTCATTTTTTGCACTAGTTAAAGTTTTAAAAGATTTTGATAAGTATGTCTATAAACTTGTATTTTTAGAAGTTTGTAGTATAATACTAAGTTTGTGTAAATGACCAGAAAGTATGTCGTTACAGTAAGTTTACAAAGAAAATAAAAAGAGAATGCTGCAGCATTCCTACAACATTTTAAAAAAGATGGCTACAGCATTCCTAAAATATTTTTGAGGAGAATGCTACAGTATTCCTACAACATTTTAAGAAAAGCTTTAAGAAATTTAGTGATTTATTCTTTTGAAATTATTGTTACGAATTATAAAGTTATTACTTCTCAAATTTAAAAAAAAAAAAATATTCCGCAAATTTTAAGAAACCCCAGTAAGTACAAGTTAATGTCAGCTACGGTGACGGCCTCTTAAGGAAGGTCGCCACATAGAAACAGTCACATCTTCTTTTTTTTGCTACAGTAAAAAACTCTCACATAAAGTTGCATCTCAAGTCGAATCAGCGAACTAAACGGACCCTTAAAGTGTATGAGTCTTGAATTTTTATTCATTACTCTTAATTAATACTCTTTAGTCAAAAAACCATATTAGTCAAAGAGTATTAATCAAGAATAATTAGAAAATTAGGCCCCGTTCACTTTGCGGATTCGAGCTTTCAATTCGAGCTGACATGTGATATTTTTTGGGAGCTTTTCACTGTTACAGAAAAAGTTAGATGTGACATTTTTGAGAACTTTTTACTGTAGAAACCTAAAACTGAAAACTCGAATCGGTGAAATGAACGATGCATAAGTCTGTAATTTATTCCATGATGAGAGGATTTGCCAAATTCGGATGACTCCATGAAAGACATTGTCTCCATCGGAAGATAGTTGTCGATGCCCTTATGCATTGTTTGATACTTTATGCTGACAAGTTTACTGACGAATTCGGGGCACGTTCAAGTTTTCAAGTGCGAAGAATCTATTTTTTCTTTCCTATTTGAAACTTCAATGAATCAGAAAATGTTGTTATGTAACCGGCCCATTCCTTTCCTACTCATAAAATTTGACATGTTTCTGTTATAACCCCAGTTTTACTTTTTTTTTTTTTTTTTTTTTTTTAAAAGAGTTAAAAAAGAAGTGTTTTAGGATATCAATAGTTGACACATCAACATGGGTTAAGGCTAATTTATGGAGACAATATATTGCTCGAATGAATCAATTTGAGACTCTTACTTTACAGTCATGTGATCGTTGTCAGAGTTGGACTCTAAAAGGACTCTTAGCAGACCCACAAAAGACTAGTACTGCCATACGCAGATAACTCCAGATGATGCAATATCTAGCTACCTACTTGCTTGAATCATAACAAGTAATAATTTTTAAAAAAAATAATAAAAAAGAAAGAAAGAAACTGCATGATGACAATTGACAATCTAAGCTGCTTAGAATAAATTATGCGTTACTGCAAGGAGCTAGGATCACGACTTGGTTCTATTTGGAAATCATTTATAAGAAATAATGAAGGTGATATATATATATATATATATCATGCCAAATATTATCTTATAAGAAGTTTAAGATCAAATTAAGAAGTTCGTTATTCATGCTTATGAACAGTGCCCTTATAATCAGTGATAATAAAATAATATTTTTAAGAATATTATAGAGAAAATTTGAGTTGCATGCACATGGATTACTACTAGTTTACGTCAATTAAGTCTTATTTATAATCATGCAACACGTGAAAATTATATATATATATATGTGTGTGTGTATATATATGTGTGTGCATACAGTATACAATAGTATATATATTGTGGTGCTCCGATATATATCTGGTTGTTCTCTGCCAAGTGCCCGCTGTATATTACACTACAAACAAACAGAAATACTTTCTGGGAGTATGCCTATATAAGAGTTAAGCACTGTCCTTTTCTTTTTCCTTTTTTTTTTATTTTTATCTTTTATAGGAAAGGATTTTTCCCTAATTTGTCAATAAAGATATTCATCTCCTCCGACAGGAAAGGATTCGTCCATTTTCCAATTTTACTGCCTCTTTCTTTCGTCACATGACGCATTTACGCATATAATTACACAGTAGTATAGATAGAGAGAATCTTGCTTTTACATTATCACGCAAAGCCACTAATATTTGTAGATGATATGATATATATATATATGTATGTATATATATGATCCTTGATCTGATCTTTCTTTGTTCCACACGCATGTTAATTGTGCATATTCATGGCCAGTGGCCACATCAACGTACGTTTGATTACGAACGTCAAATTAGTTAAACGATCGAATCTTTCACTTCTCAGTAGGGTGAGGACATATCATATTTAAGTCTTACTGTTATCTCTTTAACTTTCCTATCCGCATAACTTTTTCCAGTACAGATTCATGGAATTAAAGTCCCTTATCCTAATTCGTAGATCTAGATGCTAACTAGTCCGTTTTATAGATGAAGACGTTTGGTTCGTAAATTAGAATCATGTTATTAGAATTATTTTTTATTTATGTGTATTTTTTATAAGAAAAAATACTATAATAAATTATGAATTATGATTTAATTCAGAATACGAATCTACCAACCAAATAAACCCGTATCTTAAGGTGTTTGTAGTTTTGATATGTATTTTTTTTCTTTAATATGAGCCTTTTTTTTGGCGGTATTAAAAAAAAAAATCTAGCTAGTCGTTTTTTTAAAGAAAAGAGAGAGAGAGAGAGGAAATGTCTTACCTCGGACAGTTAAATTAGTCTGGTAAATATTATTTTTTTCATAGTGGTGTGTAACATTGTTCTTTTGTAAGTGTAATATCTCGGTTCAATTAAATTTATTAATATTTAAAAAAATAATTCAACACATGTAATATTAAGTATACACTTAATATTACACACACTTATAATTAATATTATAAGAGAATAAAATAAAATAAAATAAAACAACATTTAGTTGCCAAACCTAAGACTTTACCGAAAAGTAATAACTAAAATAAAGAAAAAACAAGAATATATCTTCCAATCGGCCATGCACTTAGAATAGTTGCGACACATAAAATTAATATTAGATGCATCTAATCAGCTTAGAATAGTTGCAACACATAAAATTAATATTAGATGCATCTAATCAGGACTTTTTGGAACCTTCATTGCGGTTTCCCTAAATTCCTGAGGCCAAATAAGCGCTGATAAAAACAATGGGGAACACATAGTACGGGATCGACTTAGATTGGACATTTGGCAATGGCCAAGGTGCCAAATATGAAAAACTTGATGCGTGTTTTCAACGTTACATTAATTTCATATACTATGTATTGTCCCGCCCGTGATATCTACATATGCTATATTCTGGATTTTCTGTACAGATGATAATTTTGATAAATGCGGATGGATGTGGATTGTTTCATGTTCGTTATTTTATTTTATTGGCATTGATCGTTTTTTATTTTAGATGACGTTTAGATTATGTTTCAGAATCATTCTCGTTTTACGTGTATTTTTTATAAGAGAAAACACTGTAAAAAACCATGAATCATGATTCAGAATCAGAGACGAATATAGGAAACAAACGTCCTTAGATTTTCAGCATATTTTGATAAATTGCTCTTGGACTTTTAATTTTAGCAAGCTATATTCTATGAATTTATTAAAAGGTTTCATGGCACCTAAGTTGATAATGATTACTAAAATTTAGACAAAATTACACTCTCATTCATGTCAAGTATGCTCATTTGAAGGGCATAAACTTGAATTTTCAATGACGATATAGCAAGATCAGGTGCGTGAGAGCGTTGTTGTCCAAACCATAACAATCCTTGTCTATATATTCAGAATATTATGCAACATTTTATTAAATGTAGGAGTAATTTCTTAAAATCAAAAGTTCACGAGACAACCTAGCTATTAGTTTTCTAAAATTTACAAATTTAATTAA